AATGAATCATTGTCTGAATGAGTCTGCCCTATAAACGGGTGTGATGTATGGGTGTGGCAGAAGTCAAATTCTTCGTCATAGATGGTGTGACTGGAAAACAAGTACAATCACACCCCCTCTACCTTAATGGCCTACGACAACAAAAACAATATTTATACATAATAATTTCTATCTATTATAAGCGCATATTTGTTGATGTTATTAGAATATGTTCGACTTAAGTAAACGTGTAAACATTTAATCTACCACTGGTTTACCTTAATCTACGGCTCGTTTTAATTTTAGCAATCAGAATATGCACAATATTTTGTAAATTGAAAACCTACCGTAATATAATTATATTTAATAGCTATTTATTTTTAACCTTTAATGGAACTTTTATACATATCCAGAAAAATTTTTGATCTTATTTAAATCTTTCTTAGTTTAATTAATCTTGATATGTTGCTTTATTGTTTTGTATTTTTAAAAAACACCATAATATTATTAATAGCAATAACCACATGTTTAATAATTTAAATAGCAGGTCTTAACTTTTCAGTAACCAGACCATGCTGAAGTAGTGCACGTGCACATAAAAATGTAATCTATCACTCGTTTACCTATATGAATGAATCCAGAGCCGTTTTTATGTTTATAGNGCAGGCGCACATAAAAATGTTATCTATCACTCGTGTACCTATATGAATGAATCTTTCTTAATTTTATTAAACCTGATATGTAACTTTATTGTTTTCTGAATTTAAAATTCACCTTTATGATATTAATTGCAGTTACTATTAGTTTTTAGCCTTTAACAACATATTACTACATATTTTGCCTTTAAAAGTACAACTTTCAACCCCATTGTAAGGTATCATAAGAATATGTTCGACAATATTGCAAGTGTGAATACAAATTTTATCTTATTTAAATCTTTTTTAATTTAAGTAATCCTGATATGTAGCCTCCTATTGTTTTGTGTTTCTAAAATTCACCATTATGTTATGAATTGCAATAACCATTTATTTTAAACCTTTCGTTATAATTTCACTACATGTTTGATAATTTAAATTAGGGTAAACCAACCAGTGAAGGAACACTACCCAGTGAAGGAACATTTCTTATATATTGATTAAAAATAAGAATTTTAAAGTTTTTTTTTTTTTAGATTGATTGGTAACAATAGCTTACTTCCAAACAATAGGAAGTCATCTAGCAATATTTTGGATTACCTGGTCAAATAGACTTCTCTGGAAAAAATTTTGAATCTGTTATTATCTCTACAACACCTTGTTTCGTTGAAAAAATTATAAGGTGATTGTTTGTATTTATATGTTTGAAGTGGAATTAATTGCATGTAGTAGTCTTATTTTTCTCACTGTGAAAAAGAGAATTCAAAATATAGTTATTGAAGTTACGTTTTATTTTTTTTAAAGAACCATAGCATAATCAAGTACTGAGATAAGGGGGTGTTTATTCACTGGATCACCAAACGATGAAAAACCAGTGAAGGAACAAGTGTTTCTTTACTGGGCTTTTCCCCCAGTTAATGAAAATAAAAGAAATTTTTTAATTTTCTTGTACTTTTAGTGATATTATACATCAAAATTCTGTTTAAAAGACAAAAAGCAACTTCTAACCAGTGAAAAAACAGGCATGTTCTTTCACTGGGAATACTTCCAGTGAATGAACAGTAATGTGTGAAATATGATTTTACATGACTCTAGGATAAGTAATTCTGCTATATAGAGGACAACCGAAATTTTATTAAAAATTGTATGAGTAATTCCTGAAATAATTTCAGTTCAAAATGTTAATTTAATAGCTTAATTTATGAAAAAATTATAATTTATATTTATTAATGGGGTGTGTAGTTGCATCAAATGTTAGACAACATAAACTTTGTTTACGAATCGAAAACTAATTAAATATAATCATAAAAATTTGAATAGAAAATTTTTTCGCTGGATTTTGCACCAAGAACTCTTAATAAGCTATCATTATAGGATAGCAACGCAATTATATAATTTATAAAAACTACTTTACGATGTTAGAATTGAGAAGCAAGCTCCTCAACAAAAAACAGAGTTAAACGGAAACGATATTCAATTTCTTCAGAAGCTTGAGAGGAAAATCCCTCAAGATATGTTGCAAATTTTTAACGCAGCATTGTCTGAAGAGTTTAATATCGAAAATATCCAAGAGCCTGTACTTTTTTCAATAAGGAAGAAGTACGTATTAAAGGAAGACCACTTGGTTAAGTCAAACTTAGGAACTGAAGCTAGCATTGATAATGAATGCATCTTAGATATCGAATTTGAAATGAGTCCTCATGCTGATCCTCTCTTAGTTGAAAAAAGAAATGATTCTATAAGTAAAATCAGTACTTCTAAAGNTTTTCTTCCTAGAAATTTATGAGCAGAAATCAGACAAAAGGGTGTTTCTGTGGATATCTGATATTTTTGAAGTTAGGAAAAAAGAGCCCCGAGGCAATATAAAGAAGATAAAAACATTTTCTCACAGTGTAAGGTGAGAAGGCTATTTGACAACTCTGTGGGTGGTAGCTACGAAAATGGGGATATTTTCATTAAAGGAAAGACGTTTTTATTGCTCTTTTAGTTAGAAAAGTGAAGAGTAACAACTATTTTATATTTGTAAACACTTCGATTAGATTTTGAAAAGAATCCGACAATGTAAGAAAGAAAAAAATATGTATGTTATGGGCTTCAGAGGGCCTCAGCTCTGAATAAAACTTAAAAAAAAGACGAAAAAAGTGGGGTTTGGGTGGGGGCCCCATTAGAAATCGGGGCCCTGGGCCAGGGCCCACTTGGCCCATCCTTAAAAACGGCTCTGAATGAATCTTTCTTAATTTTATTAAACCTGATATGTAACTTTATTGTTTTCTGAATTTAAAATTCACCTTTATGATATTAATTGCAGTTACTATTAGTTTTTAGCCTTTAACAACATATTACTACATATTTTGCCTTTAAAAGTACAACTTTCAACCCCATTGTAAGGTATCATAAGAATATGTTCGACAATATTGCAAGTGTGAATACAAATTTTATCTTATTTAAATCTTTTTTAATTGAAGTAATCCTGATATGTAGCCTCCTTGTTTTGTGTTTCTAAAATTCACCATTATGTTATGAATTGCACTAACCATTTATTTTAAACCTTTCGTAATAATTTCACTACATGTTTGATAATTTAAATCACAACCTTTAAGCTTTCAATAAAGTGTCGCGGCGCGCGAGGATGCTCAAGCACGTGCTCATAATTTATCTTTCAGTCGTGTACCCACATGAAGTATGAAGGAATCTCTTTTAATCCTATTAATACTGATATGTAGCCTTATTTCTTTCTGAATTTAAAATTCATCTTAAACGATATAAATTGTAGTTACTATTAATTTTCTTAACTTTAACAACATATCACTACATTTTTTGCAAAGCAAGAATTTCCTCCCTGTTGTAAAATATCATAAGAACTATAGCGCAAGCGAATAAATTTTTATCTTATTTAAATCTTTCTTAATTAAATTATTCCTGATGTTGTGCCTCATTGCTTTGTGTTTCTAAAATTCACCTTAATTTTATTAATTTCAATAGCCATTTATTTTTTAACTTTCATAATTATACTTTCAACACATGTTTAATAATTTAAATAACAACTTTAAACCGTTCAGTAAAATTTCACGAGACAATGTTCAAGCAGTTCACGAGCACATAAAAATGTAATTTCTCTCTCATATCCATATGAATGAATCTTTCTAAACTTTATTAGTTCTGATATATAGCCTTAATTCGAAGTAGGCAAAATAAATTTTATAAATTGTTTCCTAACCAAAATTCTATTATCCGTAAAAGAAACAAAAATTGTGCCCAATCCAGGAATGACACTTCGAGTTCCCATTCCTTGTTAGTACTTGAAAATCATTACATTAGATCAAAAGTTATTGAAGATTTTGACTTTTGTTTCCATGCACTTTAAATTCTCTGTCTCATTCATTATTTTAAAATTTTCATTTACAGCATTTTGTTTTTGATTGTTTAATTTTTTCAAGTACTTTGTATGCGCATTTTCGAAAATTAATAATTTTTAAGAGGAAAAAAATAAGTAAATATTTAATTTCTTAAATATAATTATTTCATTTGTAATGTAAATATAGTTATTTCATTAAAACAATTGTGGAATAAAATAGGTCGAATTTCATTATACTATATGCCACGTCTCTTGAAAAATAATTAAAGTATTTTTTAATTATCACATACTAATAAAATGTGGAAAAAATTGATAATTAGCTGTACAAAAATCAAATTAATAATATTTAAAAATTACATTAAAACAATTAAATGAAGTCAAAAAGCCAAATTTAGCTGTATTCACCATATTTCTATAAAAATATTAAAGGATTATTAAATTATCGTATGCACAAAAGCCAATAAATATCAATTTTCTCATTATTTTGTAAAACATTTAACATCGAACATAATATTTTTTGAAACATTTTGGTACATTTTTGATTTAATAAGACATTTTAAGCAATCTAATTTCCTTAACAACATACTTTTTCAGGAAAAAGATAATAAATAATGTAATTTTTTTAAGTGATATGCATATATTTTCAAAAATTCGATGCATTTCTTGAAAATTTTTAGTTCCTTAAAACATCTCATAAAATAATCTAATTTTTAGCGACGTTCTTTTAAATAGAATTAATAGACTAGAGATGGCGCCACTAAAACTAATAATAATTTCCTTTTTTTTTAGTCCCAGATTCATAACAAAAAGCAAACATAGATAGTAAGTACCTGTAAAGGGAAGAAAGTAGTTGTGTGCATGTCATGAACGTTTCATCGATATTTATTTTAATGTAATATAAATATGGCTACTGATATCTGATCAATTGGTAAGTTAAGAATATCTTAACTGTATATTTTATAAAGATTGATTGCTCAAACTCAGCGTAGTCTTGAAAGTTATAATTGTTATAAGGAAAAAATCAAATAAGTTTGTTTTTAATTCCTCTTTTCTCAATAAACTAATCGTTCGTTGCCAATGTTATAAATACGAAATATATACTTCCTTTTCTATCAAAACCAAGTTATAATTTAGTTTAAATTATAATTAAGGAAAGTTATAAGACCTATCGTTGTGGCGCAACAGGTAAATCTAAGTCTAATCTTATTGAAACTTGCCAATGCAATATATTTACATTCTTTCTTCTTGGACAGACTGACCCGTTGATTGTTTTTTCGTTCTATTCCATAATTATGTCAGATTTAGGGAAAGAGCTTGATATTTAAGGATGTAATTGTACATTATAAGGAGCTTTTTTTTTCTATTGAAATCATTATTGAACTTACCAACTAACATATACTTAGCTCTTTATCTGGATATATTTTTAAGTAAATAAGTGATCATGTTACGTAACTTTTTTTTGCTTCAATTATTGCGCATATATTCATATATTTTTTTAAAAGTGTATTTATCTCTTTCAAATTCCTTCAGTATTTTTTGAACAATTTGTATGGATTAAATGGCAGGATTGTATTACTTTAGAAAGATATTAGGATCTGGGATCTAAATTAAAAATAAAATCATGTATGCAGCAATGTTATATAATAAACGTCAATAGTGTCGTCGTTTATTTACTTAAGTGCATCTGACTACTGAAGAAATAACCCAGTCTTGCAGAAATATTTTTTTTAAACGAATTAAACTAATTTTATTAATGCATTTTTTGCAAAATTTAATGCAAATTACATGAGTTTTCAAAACTCAGTTTTACAAGCATAAGCGACTGAATTTCCCGGGTTGTCTCTGATTTACCTGGGGTTGTGTCTGCTTTGCCCGGATGGAATCGCAGCTTTTCTACACAGTATGAGCTGAAATCTTATGTCACGCATTAAATTTAGAAAAACTTTTATTTCTTTTCATCCCTGTTATGATTATAATTGAAACTTTGTTTATAGCTTTCCATAGCTGTTAACATTTAAAAACAAACTAAAAAGAAACAAATTGCAGTCAAAATTCTATTTAACGAACTTCCACTTTGCGAATTTCTCTATTATGCGAATTTTTTCGAGGAACCAAGAACATTTTTTGTAATTTCTTGCTAAAATAACTCCCAAATATCGAAGTGAATTTTCTATTTAACGAACTTTTCTTTGAGATCCACTTTCCCTATATCCCAAAATATTTCAGATCATTTTAGATTTGTTTGCGCATTTCATGAGGGAAATGACCTTGAATTTATTATCGATGCCACTTAATTTTTAGAGAAAGCAGTAGAATCCCTTTTTGTTTGCATTCAAAACGGAAAACTCAGAGAAAACGGTTTTTATCAGTAGCAATTAAAGTGCATGCGGTAATGTATGCTTAAAATTACTTTTATAATAAATGCAGCTATAATTTTATACATCAATTTAGTTTTTTTTTAGATGAAAATGTATGTAGCATGTTCTGGATGATGTTTCGCTCTATTCTTGCTTTCCATGCAGATTTCTTTTATGGTTAAGATTTATGAAATGAATAGTAGATACTAGTTTACAAGACAAAGGTGTATCAATTGTTATTTTAATTATGTCTAGTGTTGATAAATTTAGAACCAGTTTTGTGTTTAAGGATTTCAAATGGTGATTTTCTATTTAACGAATTTTCCATATAACGAACTTATGATCGGGAGTTAGCGGCTTCGTTAAATAGAGATCCGACTGATATACATTTTCAATTTTATGTACGTATATGATTACAATTTGAATTTAATCTGAAATTTGAACATCATATACATTACACCCATAGTTAGTATTGAAATTTCATAAAATTGTGTCTAATGGCGTAAATAACACCCCCGCAACCGTCGCGTTTGCGGGGGTGAGCACAATCCAGTAATAATACACTATGGTAGGGGTGCGCAATTTACGGCCTTTTGCATGCCCCTGAATATAATTTTAAAAAAATTATTATAAATTTTTTTTTCGAAATATAAAACATTGGAAATTTTTAACAGTGAATTTTTTAACGAGCCAAATCTAAATCAATATAGTTTTTCGATTTTTTTTTTTTGGTGGTTATCGCAGCTAATTTTCCTAGTTTTAAAATCCCAATATTTTTATTCGAATTTCAGTAATCACTTTTAAAGCTCTTTATTTTTGTCTAAGTAATAATAATTGATAACACTTAATAGTTTACAACAGTTAATAGTTAATCTAAGTGACTTTTCGATCGTGTTCTAGGAGGTTATCGAATTTCCACGCGTTTTTTAAAATCCTGATCTTTTTAATGCATACATTATAACAACTCGCGAGTTTCGAATTATACAGATAGTATTCACATTTAACGTGATTTATTTGTGTCAAAATAGTATCGTGCTATTTTTTAAGTACTCTCTTTCTCTAGATACTATTTCTGTATCGTATATCTAAGTTTAACTCGTAACTAAGTTTTCACTAATACTCGCTTTTCTAAGTACCGTATCGTTTCTCTAAGTATTTTTTTAAATTGTTTTTTCAGCACTTTTTGCCACGCGTTTCTATATGATTTTGTAAATCCCGATATTTTTAATATGTATTAATACGACACTCGAATCGCGCTTTTAAATGTGCCCTTTATTTGTGACGCAAATAAAGGGCGCATAAATCTAAGATCATCGCAAATCTAAGAGTTCTTTTTTTAATCATTTTTTCAACATTTCTGCTACACCTTTTCACAGGATTTCGAAAATCTTAATATTTTAAATCTGGTACTAAAATGACTAGCAATTTTCGAATCATTCATTTTAATCACCACTTTTGCCGCGCTTTATTTGTGCCGATTTCATCCTCATTCCAAGATATTTTTCAATCGTTTTTTTTTTCTTCTTCGGTTTATATATGCTAGATATTTCCACATTTTTTTCAAAATCTCAATATTTTAATACACTATTATTATAACACGCGAAATTCGAACGTGAGTTTCTTAAGCTGTTTACTGTTTTTAAACTTTGTTTCTAATTTTTTGTAGCTTGAATAAGAGCTTAAAAAACCATTTTAAGATTTAACATTCATAAAATCCCTTATAATTCACTAAATATAAATGTCAATGTCATGAAGCTAAAAATATACTAAACTGAGTTCCAACTGAATGTTGTATGTAAAATACCTCATACAATTTCTTTAATTGAAATATAATTTGCATTTATGTTGCTCAGTAAAATATTTATTTTTTACTTTAATTTAAGAACATTAGAGGTAATTTGTTTTAAAATAAAATTTTGTATTACGTGATATGATGAAAAAACCATCACTTTTCCCCCGTCTTTATATTTTTTTCGACAAATATGTTTTTTGAGGAAATATTTTATTTTTGAAAAGTATCAGTTTTAAATAACATTTAAAAGAATTTAATTTTATGCAAATATATTAGTAAGTTGACTGATGAAAAGAAAAATAGAAGGAATTGAGATAATAAATTTTTTTTTTAATTACTTAAAATAATTTGTTTTAATATAAATATTTTACTAAGTAGACTGATAAAAAGAATTCCGTCTGATATTTATGCTAAAATTATTATAATTGCTCCTTTTATTTAAGAAAGGGTTGTGCACTGTATGAATTACAATAAAAATATTTTTTTTATTTTATAAAATATTTTTTAATTCACTTTTCAAATAACCCTTAATTAAATATTATTGTAATAAAGGGAACAAATTTCTCGTATTATTAAGATGAATTTCATTTCAATGTAGGTAGTAAATTGTTATGTACATACAATGTTCTAATTTAGTACTTTTCTAAATTCCTTCTTTCCATCGCAATTATAAATTAAAGTAAAAATAATTAAAATTAAAATCTATAAATTAAAATAAAATGAATGATTATATATACCCGAATGTATCTTCATAGAGTTTTTGTTTCATATTAGAATTTTAAAAAATTTCTAAGAGAAGGCGCATTTATAAATGTTGCAGGGGATGTACGCCAATGAGTTTGTCATGAATAAAGTCCTCTTTTTTCTCACAAAATGAACGAATTTTAGTTGGTAAATACTAAAGTTTAGAAAAAGGAATCATCAAAGTGATTGAAATCAATAAAATCAGTTCACTCCATCAGTATTTCGAATCACTTCGAATCGGTAAACGATTCGCTGAATCACTTATTATTTTGAATTACTAGTTGATTCGAATCAGTGAGTGGTTTGATAATGAAGCTGATAAAAATTAGATAAAAAAGATTTATCTATTATAAAAATGACTTTAAAATATTTTTGTTTTACAATTTTTTCGGCAGTACATAACATTACCCATCAATAATGGAAGAGACAGTAAATATTTAAAGGATTATTTTGTAACTTTAGAGGTGTTAAGTTCATGCAATTTTTCATATTTAGCAATAACATTTAAAGTTTTCAGAGGTTTGGAAGACCTACAATAAATTACGAAGGAAAACAAATATTTTTGAACACTCTGTGCCAGAAAATCAATCAAAAAACCTGTATCAATTATTTCTGATAACTACAAAAAGTTTCGTAAATCTAGAGTAAATATTTATGGAGATATGGACATTTTTATGAAAAATTAATTTTTTCACCTCACGTTTTTTTGCTATTGCTTCATAAATATTCAATGGAATTCAACAAAATTTTTGGTGAAATTTAAGATTAATTACAAAATTTTTGATTCAAAATTTAAAAAAAAAAAATTGTTTAAAACTGCACAAGATATGAGTATTTAAGCTAGTCATTTTACACTGCGCATGCGTAGAAAAAATTAAAAAAACTTTTTTTCATAATTTTGAGGGGAATGGTATTTGGCAACTAATGATAAAAGCTTTATTTGAATATCTTAAATATTTAAAAAGTGTCCAGCAATTTTGTAAGTAGTTTTTGTACTTTTTAAAAGAACGATCAAAACCATCTACAAATTTCATCTTGTACTATTAAACAAGATTTATTAAAAATGAAACTGGTATTGTGGGTGGGATACAGTCCTTGATATGGACTTAGATACTTTTATCGATCTGATTAGATGTATGTGTTTATTGATGCATAAATATTTTGAAATTGTTAAAAGATTAGAAATTAAAAATTTTTCTAAGATGAATGTTAAAAAATACTTTTATCATTGTTTAAAAATTTAAAATATGTAATCACAGCAGCTTAAAACGTTTAATAATAATAAAAAAGAAAACTCATAATTGTATCAAAAATTGCTTAAAGTAATTTATAATTCTCATATAATATGTTCCTCATTCATATGAATTTTTGCTTTAACTTTTAAGACAACAAAAAACTATTTTGCATAACATCCCTGATTTAGAAAAAGCACATTTTTGTTGAAAAAAGTACATAATTTTGGAATTGAAATAATGCAGAAATGACATCTCACTTTAAAATTGACACCCTTATAATAATTGAAATTTTCTGTTAGATTTCTTATGTTGATACTGAATTAGTACACGTAAACTAACAGGTGTAGCACGTTTTGTCCATATTTTGCTTAAAAGTGGAAATAAATGTTTTTCAGCTACATAGAAGTCAGATATATTTGAATCTATATATATTAACCTAATATAATTTTCTGCAAAATGAAGCTTAAATTTTCAAGCAAATAGTTAAAAAACGGAAATTGCATAGTCAAAAATGATAGTCAGATGTTGACTTAGTGCATTTTTTCTTTAAATTATTTATCCGAGTGGCATAGAATACAAAACTTGTAATAAAACTGAACTGTATTCTCATTTATCTTTCTAAATGGAACTTCATTTTTTTGAAATAATTGTTTCAAGCCTGATTTTCTTTTATTTTAGAGCATTTTTCAAGATGAGTTTGACAGTGATGAATTTCAATCGGATTCGAGAGTTAGTATCGAATTTAGGATGTATGAACGAAGACAATACATACATTTTAAGTCTGGATTGTTTGAGTAAGTACTTTTTTATCAATAAATTCTTGGTTTTTTTCTTGTTTACAAGAAGAATAAATTTCATTTTATTTAAATGTTAAGTTAAGCTCTAGTTCCTAAAATAAATATTATTTAATGTAAAAAAATACACCTTTGAAAAGCTTGATGAATTCAAATACCTTGGAACATTGATCAATGACCAAAACAGCATAAAAACAGAAGTAGACAACAGAATTAAAATGGCAAATAAGTGCTTCTTTGGACTAAGAAAGCAATTAAGATCAAGCCTAATCAGTCGAAAAATTAAAATTTATATGTCTCTTATTCTACCTGTATTGCTCTATGCAAGTAAAACATGGACACTAAACGCAGACACTCACCGTACTCTTGGTGTTTTTGAAAGGAAAATCCTTAGAAATATTTTCGGTCCAGTACAGGAAAGAGGCTGTTGGCGAATCAGATACAACTTTGAATTATATAGACTCTATGGACAGCCACAGATAGTGCAGGGCATCCGAAGCAATAGATTAAGATGGCTCGGTCTTATCTGGAGAGGTTCAGAAAATAATGCAGTCCGAATCACCACCTTTAAAAATCTTTCGGGATCTCGGGCTAGAGGAAGACCTCCAACTAGATGGCTGGATGACACTGCTAAAGATCTAAAAGTATTAAAGATAAACAACTGGAAAAAAGTAGCCATAGACAGGAGGCGTTGGAGGCTACGTGTGGTTGAGGCAGCCAAGGCCTGTAAGGGGCTGTCGTTTTGAAGAAGAAGAATGTAAAAAAATATGTATGTATTTCGAAAGTTAAACTGATTATTTTTCGAAGTATGCTAATATCCAGTCTAACCAGACAAAGCAGGATTTAAATTATTATTATAAATGTCATTAATTTATTCATTATTTTTTAACCGAATTATTTTCTATATAGCTTTCTATTTTGAGAAATAGTTTCAGTTTCAAGTAACATAAGTAGTTTTAATTTTTAGTAAATTAAATTATTTAAACAGAGAATAGAAAACTCTCTGCGGTGCTACAGTTGAGGCACTAACTTTTGATCAGGCCTTTTGTATTATCCGAAGTCGTCCCGTAGTGGACTGATCGTTAAGACACGGTTCCCACCAGATCACCGAAGTCAAGCATCACTGGCTGCGGTTAGTGTGCGTGTGGGTGACCACTTGGATTAGTCTGCGTAGGAACCGAGGGTGTGCGGTATTGGTCATCGTTGAACTGTTCTACCGTAAAGTGCTCGACTTCGCTTGCAGGTCGTCGGGCTACCGAAGCGGGGGTGCCATCCTCTCTGCAGAGGATCAAAATTGTGATGGCATGTCTTCGGATCATCCTCAGGGATATTTCCCAGACCGTCGCCAATAGCCCATTGTGCAGCTCTAGTGCGACGTAAATGAACAACAAAATTGCCAGAATTTATCAGACAACGAACAGATAAGAAAAAAGACTATTCTAAACCTGTTTTTTAAAAAAAGAGGTTTAATCAGATATTGAACTTACAAAATAAACAATACATAGTAAAATCAGTGATGCTTTCTAATAAAAAGTTTCTAAACTTTGGTGTTGATAACCATTCATCTCGAAATAACATGGAGATTGTTTGTAACTTGCCATCAGACAACGAACAGATAATAAAAAAAGACTATTCTAAACCTGTTTTTCGGGATACCCCCCCCCCCGCTCCAATTCGAATAAATTATTTCATATCAGAAACCATTTAAAAGGTTTATTTGTAAAAAAAAAAATTTTTTTTCTTTTTCGAACGTATTGTAAAAACTCAACAAATATGTGTAGAAACTCCTCCAAAAAGGTTTTTAAAAATATATTCTCTGAAGAGAGAAAAAAAAATCCTCCCCAAGAATTTTCTAATTGTAAAACTGCAAAATAATACACACAAGTTATTGAAAAGTTTTTCCTAATCATATTTTACAATTTTAAACTTGCAAAAAGTGTTCCCCACAGAAAAATGTCTATGTCCTTCCCCACCTTAATACCCCCCCCTGTAGGCACTTTTTTTTATTAGACCCTACGTCAAAAATCGTAGAGACGTCCTGTGCGCAATGTTGATTAGATTATCACAATCATGCTGCTGGTCACGAAATTGTGAAGCCTTAACCTCAATGACTTTCTTCCCACAACATAGTCTGTTATCTTTCTTTACGTCAGAAACCATGAATTTTTAAGTACCCCACTTAAAATAGCTGATATCTAAAAACTCGAAAAATTGGAAACTTGTAGCTAAATTGTGAAAAATAAATAGATTTAAAAAATGGATAACGGAAAAAGGAAATAAATGAAAGGGTTAAACATTTTAGAATATTTTTTAAAACTAAAGTAGAAGCCAAAAATATAGCAAAGTTTACTCTAGTTTTTAATAGAAGTGACTTGCCCTTTTCTAAGAAAAACGTTTTTATTATTTTTTTTAAATGGCAATTTTCCAGTGTTTTGTAAATTATTTATATTTCAGTTGGTTAAATGATTTTTCTGCTGCATTTTGTTTCATTAGTAATCAAACACATTTCGATATTTTGGGTATCGCCTTCCTCAGTAGTGACTCGTTAGATTCGGATAGCCTTTTTGTGTTTTTCTTTGCTTAAATATTCAATTGCGGTTTTTATGGTGTGTATTTTTTCCATTTCATTTTAGACAATGATTCTACAAATAAACACGAGGGTGGTCGCTCATACATTAAATTAAAGTTACATTTTTTTTAGTAAATCCTTCCATCTGCACTTCATCAGTGAAAAACACGCGATGCATACTAAGAAATAGTGTAAAATTTATTAAAAATTTCAAAGACCCTTCACATACTTGTCGACTTCATTTTGCGATTGAAAGTGACATTTTCTTAGCCATGGATTCAATTTTTCTGATTCTTTTATGCTTTTTTTCCCCTGAATTCCATTTTGTTCCAAACGGATTTATTTAGATAAATTGAACTGAATGAAATCATAAAGAACTATTTTTAGAAAAAATAATAATAAACAGTTGGAGTCTTTCTAGTGCTGTCATTTTCAGTGTTTCCCCCTTTTGTGTTTTTTGAAGCTTTTCCATTCTATAGAGAAATTCACGTGTTTTCAAAATAAAAATCTTTGAAACATGTGCTTTAAAATTTCATTTCATTTCTTTTTGGGAAAAAACATTGAAGATCTAAAGGAATGACGTCAACAAATAATATTTTCCAACGATTCAAAGATAATATTTTTTTAATCATTATAATTTGAACGCATGTGGGTAATTCTTCAGAAATGGCGAAAACTCGAAGTACGTATTATTTTGAATTATTAATAAACATTAATCTCCGCATATTTCTTATTATGAAACGTACTTTGCTAACACACTTAATATATGATGAAGTAATTAATATTATTGAAAGGAATGCTCTTAAATGCATAGGGATGCATCGTATGTTTAAAGCCTAGTTCTGCGTTAATTTGCCGCGCGGCGACAATTCGTTGCAGGCACAATTCGTCATGCTCACATTTTCGTTTCGTGCAGAATTCGTTGGTGGCTCAACTTGTCTCAGCGATAATTTGTCGTGAGCCAGCCGTGATGATTCAGGGAATAGTGATAGGGGGCCGTTTAAAAAGTACGTACATCCCGAAGGGGGGGAGGGGATTTGCTCTTATGTACGGTTTTGTACGATGGGGAGGGGGGGAGGTATTATACAAAGTACGTACTTTATAAACATACACCAAATTAAATTTGACTTTATCCTACACACTCCTTAAGTAAATATTTAATTTTATTTAAAACATAATTATTTTAATTTTTATGAAAAAGGGGGGTAGACTAATAAAATGTACGTACTCTAAGGGGGTGGGAGTAAGACCTTATGTACGGTAATGTACGAAGGGGGGGGAGGGGTTTAAAATTTCTCCATTTTTGTGTACGTACTTTTTGAACGGCCCCTNGTAAGAGTTTCACCTTCCAATGAGGTGAACCGGGTTCGAATCCCAGCGATGGCTGATCGATACGAATTCCGCATCCGGCTTGTATCAACCACACTGCTGACGTAAAATATCATCAGTGGTAGAGAGATCATGGGTTAAAATCCCCTTGCCGTCAGGCTAACCGTGAGAGGTTTTCGTGGTTTTCTTCTCTGTGTAACGCAAACGCAGGTTAGTTTCATCAAAAAGTCCTCCGCGGAGGCAATTTTTTTCCAGTACCTGGTTCAGGAGTTCCCTTGTCTTCTGGACTGGTTTCAAAATTACAAGGCTACGGAGTTGAACATTAGTAGTCGTAAACTCAAAAATTGATTGTAAAATTCAACGACGATTATAAAATAAAATAAAATTTTTCACGAGCATAATTTCTTGAAGTTTCGATGAAATACAATTATTTAAGAAATTTTTGCATTCTCTATGGAATCTATCTAAATATTTAATTTAAGGCCATTAAAATATTATGAAAGCATTCACGGGGGTTTGTGATTTGATAACTAAAGTTACAAGGGAGCAGTAGGAGCAATACTTGCGTAAGACATTTAAATGCCCTTAATTTCATTTTTTTTTAAATGCTATAAAAAAGTTGGAAGGTTTGTAATTAAAATTACATTTAATTACAAACCTATTTGTAATTAAAATTACATTTGGGAAAAGAAGGAGTTTGGAAAAAAATCTTAAGTTTTAGACTTTTGATCACACATTATTTATTTCTAAAATTAGATTATTATTGTAAAGTCAAAATGCAAGGAGAGTTATGTTTGCATGGGAAGGGATTTGTAATTTTTCTGAGAAAGGGATTTAAGATGGCCGAAAACATAATAATTGAATGTCTCCTTCTTAAATTTTGCTTTAGTTTACCGTTTCCAGTTTTTGAACTAGATATTTTTGCAAAATTGTTAACATGCCGTGATAGTTACAATTTCTCATTTCATCCAAAAATCGGTGAAAATTATCATTCTTCATTTTATTATTTTTTATGAGATGCTGTGACTGCTGGGTTTAGGTAATTTAATGAATATTACGAAATAGTTTATAAATGGTAGTCAAACGTTGTGTGAAATTTTGAATATGAACAAAAAAAAAAGAGTTAAAACTATGCAAGCTATTAATGTTCAAAACAGTAGTTTTAAGCAGCGCATTTGCAGAAATAATAACTTTTTCCCAACAAATTATGAAAACGCTCGATTTGAATGTGGTAAAAATTTCAAACATTATTGGCTAGTGATCAGGGTTTAAGCTGAGTCTAAAAANTTTTCGCATTTTGCGAAAAAAGCTACCGTAGCGGAAACCCTGCTAGTGATGAAGTATTTTTGTGGGAATTTTTAAAAAGTATTTAAAAGGCTGGCATCATCTTTTAATGTAAAAATAGCTATGTATTAATAGACGACATCGGAACATGTAATCGAACAGTCGCTGTTGAGGCAATAAACAAGGACATCCTCATCTGTGCACTGACAGAGGAATAGGACAAATTGCCCCAACAGCTGCTGAATACTTTTGTGCAAAGCATGCTACGACTTCTGGAAACTTGCATCGTTCTCCATGATGGTCTCACTCCTATTTACACCAGGTTTCCTATTAATGGTATTCAGCACAAAACGACTATTTTGTTCCTTGAACTCATTTTAAACCATCTTACTGTGGGCCAGAAGACTATGATCTTTGGCCAAAAGTAAAAAATTAATTTTTCAATTAAATATGTGTAGGCAGTTTTAATATATCGCAAATTAAGTATTCATAATCATTCCAAACATTATAATTTACTTTTTGAACCAACGAGAGTACAATTTAATGAAAAATATGTTAAAAAAATTGCTTTAAATGTAACTTTTAAATTTTTATTTCAGAAATATATATAGGAATTTCACCTTACTGTTACATTTTTATCAGAGTAATAAGTGTTAAATTATAGTACAATTTTTCACTTTGTTGGATTAGTTAATACTCTTGACAAACTTAGAGTTTATATCTTATCATTTGGCATTTTACAATGTTTGAATGACTTTCGGAAATTAGTTCCAAAAAGATCCACGAGGTAATTAGATAAACTTTTTTGTTGTTGTCTCCTTAGATGTTTCTTCTTTCGAAAAAACCTGCTCCATTTTGCCCGTATTGCTAAGGTGGACTAAATATACCGAAAAACAAAAATTATGTTTTTTTTTTCATGCTTTCGCGTTATTTTGTAATTAATTCGCGTTATTTTGTAATATTACTTCGGAAATATAATTTGTTTTTCATTTTTAATATAAAATTACGAACATTATTATATTTTCATTGCTATATTTAATTTTTAAACGCTATTGCTATATTAAATTGCTATATTTAATTTCACTTGTATATTATTTTTTTATTTTTGCTCGCCTTATTTCAGCCGCCATTTTTTTTTGGTGGATATTTTTAGTGTATTTCAAAATTTCAACTATGAATTTAATTTACCTGCACATAAAAACCCCTAAATACAAATTTTATCGAAATACTAATTTTGGCCACGAAACCTTGGATGCTGGCCCACTGTGCACCTGGGTTTCAGAGCACAATAAATTATCTTTTTTTTAATATCCTAACATTCTGGTATTCTTTTACTTAACTTAACATTTAATTACGCTTAATTTTATTATGCCCTATGCTGCAATTTGTGGTCCGTCTTTAGCAATTGTCCAGCAGTGTATTTATTGACCGTTTGCGGGGTAGAAATATTTAAACCTAAATTTCTGCCAAGAAGAGCCATTCGAACTCTTGTTTTTGTATACATGTCCAAAATGAAATGATATTTGTTTATATTTTTCAAAACTTTAAGTAATGTGTCAAAACTGCGTCGTTTAAGAGATTAAAATAAGAATATTAGAGATTTATAATATTGTAAAAAAATAAGTAGAGCATTTTGTATCCTTCCGCCACAGGAAGATTTCACAATAATATGCATAGAAAATTTTGAAATTAATTACGAAATTCTAACTTAACAAAATTCTATCAAACTTCTATCCCCTAAACGATGGTTTTGACGCAATATTTGAAATAAATATATTATACATACTTCATTTTAACACAATCCAAAAACAATAATTTTTTTCTTTTTTTTCTTTTTCTTTTTAGAAATACTTGAAAAATTAGAAGATGAACTACGGAATGAAGATGTTGTTAGCAGAAACGTACGCATTAGTTTGCACATATGCGGGACTGTAAAAGAAGTAAGTTGAATTTATATGTGATTTTTGAAAAGGTTATTAGGTTAAGTCAGAGACAACACAGACCCAAATCTATAGCTTAAAAATTTAAAAAAAAAAAGTCTTTTTGTCTTTTAAAATTTATTTTTTAAGTTGTTTTTTCAAATGCAAATTAAAGTTGGCATTTTTAAGCAGTCTGTTTTTAAAGCTACGAAGTAGAATTTTATGAAAATTTTGTACTGGCATGATAAAATGATAACAATTTCATCTGGCAAAATAAATAAATAGAAAGGTTGCAAAAGCTATTGCAAGATGGAGGGCTGTCATTTCCCAGCAGCTCTTTCTTACAAATCCCCTAGCTTGAGTTCTTATAGGGATACCTTTAAGACTTGATTTATTGTGATCCCATAACTTCTGTCTCATGCGTGATAGTATAAAGATACTACGTGAGTTACTTTCGATGATTAGACAGTAGAAAGCAATGGTGGACATCAAATTGAGCAGATTTGTTAACAGGAAATCTTTCAACTTTGAATATTACTGATTATTATTTGTGTATAATAAAAAATTACTATGAGTTATTAAATATAAATTTTTGGAATTTTAATTTTTTTTAATGCTAGATAAAATTCTTACCATTTAAATATGCCAATAACAAATTTTCATGAAATTCTGATGTAATTTTTGATAGACTTCAATTATACCAACTATATTGCTTTAAAAGTTTTTTTTTTTAGCAGGAGATATGAGGTTATTTCAGGAGAAATTTGGAATGGTTAACGAATTCTTCACTAATTATTTTTTCGTGTTTTTATTTTATCGGATTACTACTTTATCGTGTTATATTTCACTAATACTTAAAAACAAGACCCTATTTTCACAAAATAAGTAGATTTTTTACAATTTCGCAAAAACAGGACCCTATTTATCCAAATTTACAGAATAATGAAGAGATTTTTCACTATTTCACAGAAGTAAGACCCTTTGTACTCTAATGCTCAAAATTATGTGTAGATTTTTTTTACGATATTACAAAAACAAAAAGTCTGGAATATTTTCTGTATTAACAGGGGTCTGTCCAGACATTTTGTGAAAGGTCCGTTTTTGTAAAATTATGAAAAAATTACTCGTAATTTGTGAATATAAAATAAACGTTAAGTCATATTCTTTCAACCAGGGTCCGCTTTTGTGAATTTGTGCAAATAGGGTCCGTTATTTCAAAAAAACTTTTTTAAGGAGTTTTTAAACTGTAAAGACATACAAGATTATGCTCAACACTGTAAAATTATAATTAAAAAAATTAAATTTTAAAAAATAAACAACAATTGCTGCTTCTAAATTAGAGATGCAACATACAAATATTTGGTATTTAGCCTATACTGCTGAACGCAGAATATTAATTTCGGACGAATAATGGAAGAATCGTCTGCCGAAGACAAAACTTAATTCGTTTACATCCATCTTTCTTGTTTTCTGCCCTGGAAAGGGTTTATTCGATTAACAAAATAATAATGAAGATAAACAAATTTGTGAAGGGTCCGATTAAAAGAAAAATCATTTTGTGAAGGGTCCGATTTAAAGATAAATTATTTTGTGAAGGGTCCGTTTTTATGAAAAGATATTTTGTGAAGGGTCCGTTAACGGACCCAAATTTTTTCGAAGCAGACCCCTGATTAAGTTAAGGAAATAAACGTACGCTCGTATTTTTTTGACCCAACTAAAATATTAATGTAATTTCAGCTTGCATCTTTAATATTACACTTTCACATAATCTTTATCATTGAGTTATTAATTAATTTTAAATTGTAATTTCGTCAGCGCTTAATTTAATAGAATGTAATCTTTTTACATCGTCCTTATGTTTTGTTGTTTGAAACTCAGTTTTCATTTATTTATTTCATCTCTTTCGACTTAAATTGCTTTTGTACGGTTTGGTCACAACAAAGTAATGACGTTCTCAGATTGCCCTTCAGTAGCAACTAATTTGTAAGCAATTCTTGGTGATCGAATGTTGGTAGAACTACGAGATCATTAACCCATTTTCGGCCAAAACAATTTCAATCGAACACTGTGATCTATATTTTTCACTAATTTTATTTTTCAGCTATTTTTAAGGATTCTGAATACATCTGTAAAATATTAGTTAGTCAATTGGACTCCAGTTTAGACTTACTAGAAGTGGTTATTGACAAAATGTATAATTATTCCACTTGAGAGTGTTTTTATGATGGATTCTGTAAATGAAATAAAACAAATGTCATAAAATGTTCAACTAAATAATTTTTTAATTGATTTTGCCAAAAGTGTGTACTCACACCATTTAATTTCTTAAATAAAATATCATTTTTATGCGCTTTTCTTGTGTCAAAATGAATGTAATTTAAACATATTTCAATGAAAATAATGCTACATTTTATAATTATCTATGATTAGCTGAAAATAGGTTAAAAATATTTTATTCATATTAATTAGATTTTAATCCATAATCATTTTATTCATTCTATTTTTTTCACTTGTATTTCTATTTTTCTATCATTTTTCTATCATTAATTTTAAGAATATTTTTCTTTTAAAAACAGAAGTTTCAGAAATTCTTATTCAAAACTAAGCTTTAATTATTGAAAATCAAATGCAACAATTTTCACAAAACCATATATTTCTTATTAATGAAAACATTTTTTTGAAAAGTTATTTTATTCTTCTTAGCTGTTAGGCTAGGGGTGCGCAACATTTTTGAGGGAAGGGCCACATGCACAGCAGATTGTCTAATGAGGGGCCGCATTCCCAAATATTTAGACAATCATGTTCACTGCAATTGTAGGACGCTCTAGGCACTAAACTCTTTTTTGTCAGTTAACTTTGTAATATGTTTGCATAAAATTAAACGCCTTTAAATGTTTGAAATTAGAAACTGCAAAACTTAGTATAAAAAAAACAGAATCAGAATCAATTTATCAGAAGTTTTTTTAGATAAATTGAAGTAATTGAAAACTATGAAAAAATTAATATTTTTTTTGTCATATTACATAATACAAAAGTCCATTTAAACATGAATTTTAACATTAAAAAAAATTTTCATAGAATTAAATTTAAAAAAAATAAATGCAAGATAAATGCTTTGATTTAAAGAAAGTTTATAGGGTTAAAAATTCTTATAATTAAAACAAAACCGCTTCAGTTGAAAATAAGGTTCAACATTTAGTAGGGAATATACTTTAAAACATTTATTTTAAATTATAAGAGGCAGGGGCTGAGAGAGGAAAGGGAAATAAAGAAACAATGAAGAAACTATTTTCCTTTATAATAAAAAAACTATTAAGATACTTGTTTACAACTCTTTATGACGATTACTTTTTTAACATGACACTTAACAATTGTATAAAATTTACATTACTTTACAAAACTTATCTTGATTAAATATTTTTACAGTTAAAATTTAATGATATACAAATAATTTTCCAGCATATAATCATTACTGATATGAAATGGTCCACATAGGTAGAAAATGGTTTGGAATGGATCATGTGATAACTTTTTTGAGCCATTAAATGAAAATTTAATAGTTTTGTTTAAAGACTGCTCTGTCATTTTGTTCATGCCAAATTCATTCTGGAAAGCAGTCTTTCGACAGAAGCTGTTGTGTGTAGTATTAAACTTAACTTTATCAATTTTGGAATGAGTACCAGATCTTTCCAGATTTTTAAATCACATGAATACAAATAGCATAGCTGCCAACTCTACTGGATTTTGATAGTTTCTAAAGGTCTACTAGTGTAATAAAAATTCTCCTGGTTTTGTACATTTCAGAAAATTCCCTCAAATTAATTAAGTTTCCTGAAAAAATCCCTATTGAATTAGAATTTTTGCATAGATTATTGCTGGCTTGAATATTTAAATTAGTATTACTAATATGTAATGAAGCGAGCCTCATTTACAAAAATCAGTTTAAAACCTTTTTCATTTTTGTTCTAAAATGTTTATTTTTATTTCCTTCTTAAATTAATTTAAAAAATTCATGAATTAAATGCCCATTACTATTCAAAATTACGAGTAAACATAATGCACAATATTTCAAGCATATTTAATGCCAATCATGACTGGAAAATTCTGCAGTTTTTCTTTTTTGATGACTATAAAAATCCTTAATATTCCCTATGTGAAAATTTTTTAGTAACTTATGTAACAATTATGATGAAATTTATTTTCGTAAAATCTACTGGATTTTTTCCTATCTATGTTGACAGCTACGAAATAGCAATGTGTTACATTTAAATTGCTTGAATATGAATTGCTATGTGTGAGTTTTAAATTTCTTAATAAAAAGCGCGATGCGTGGTTTTCAAATCGCGTGTATACGAACCGACATGTGTGGTTTTGAAATTGCAAGAAGACTCACAACGTATATTTTTAAATCGCGTGAATATGAATCGCAACTTGTGGTTTCTAAATCGCGTGAATAAGAATAGCATGAATATGAATCGCGGTGTAGGATTTTTGAATTGCGAGAAAAGTTACAGTGTATGATTTTTTAAATGCCGGAACACTAATCGCGATATGTGATTTTAAATCTCGTGAATAATAGTCGCTATGGATGATTTTTAAATCTCATTAATGTTAATGCGATGTGCAATTTTTAGATCACGTAAATACGAATTACGATATGTGACATTTAAATTGCGAGAAGAATCAAAACGTATGATTTTTAAAATGCGTAAATACGAATCGCAATATGTGATTTTTAAATCATGAGACAGCAAAATGAATAGGTTGGGTATGTGTAGTAAAATTTGCACGTGTTCATGGAGCTAAATTAATAGGCATGTGTTTTGATTTATTTATTTTTTTTTTGCAAAAGGAAAACANAAAAAAAAAAAAAAAAAAAAAAAAAAAAAAAAAAAAAAAAAAAAAAAAAAAACAGTCGAAGAACCTTTTATATTTATGTTAAAATTGGCACAAATAGAGCAGCACGTAAAAAGTAATTATTTCAATGCGTGATTCAAAACTCGCGTGCTGTCAAATTATAGTATTAAAAATATCAGAATTTTTTTAAATCATGGGGAAAAGCCTAGTAATGACTAACAAAAAACTATCAAAATCCCTTTATATTTATTTACGATGAAATCGGTGTAAATAAAGTGCGTCAAACAGTGATGTATTTAAATGCGGGATTCAAAATTAAAGTGTCGTAATAGCGTATAAAAAAAGAGACTTTTAAAACATTGTAGAAATGTGTAGCAATAATTACCAAAATAACGATTGGAAAAAAAATTGATTTTTCAATAAAATCTGCACAAATAAATCACGTCAAGAAATGGTTATCTAAAACACGCGATTCGTAATAATATCGTGCTTAAATATCAAAATTTTAAAAACCACGAAAAAACCACACAATTACTGTCGAAAAAGGATCAAAAGTCATTAAGATTTGCTGTAAAGTTTGCGCAAATAAAGCGTTTCATAACTTTCAGAAATCGCGATTTCGGAAGCTACGTGAAAATGGATAGCAATAGCCACCGAAAAATCATTGGATTTCTGATAAATCCGCACCCACGAAGAGCATCAAAAGTGATAACTAAACTTCGAAATTTGTGTATCTTAATAATGACGTATTAAAGATATTGAGATTTTCAAAACTATGGATAAATCCGTGGCGTTAACCATTGAAAATAGCGATCAAAAAACTACGTTGATTGAGATTGGGTGCGTCAAAAACCTAAATTTCAAATTTCTGATTTTTTTTTCCAATTTTAAAAAATTAATTCAAAATTTTTTTTGGATTGCGTCCGCGGGCCGCACATCATAGGTTAGAGGGCCGCATGTGGCCCGCAGGTTGTGCACCCCTGTGTTAGGCAATTAAACTCAGTGGCGCGACAGCCCATAGAGAGCCAAGGCCTACTGTGCCCATCTCAGTTTTCTTGACCTTGGGCTCTGGGGTGCAGGAGCAGATGTTCCGGTCAGGTGGTCAGCCGAACGCGGAACCCTTAGTGTTTAGTTCCCAAACATGCTTGTACTCATTTATCGACCCACTGAAGGGATGAAAGGCTGAGTCAACCTTGCCCGGTCCGAGGATCGAACCAGGGACCTGTGGCACGACAGCGCGAAACGCTACCGCTCAGCTACCGGGCGTCATGTTAGGCAATTATTCTGATATTTATACTAATATTACTTACTTGTTACTAATATTACTTATTAAAGATATCGAATTCTGATGTGTAATTTTTTTTTAGGATCTGATTCCAATCTTGACTCATGGAAGAGACTTCAAAATTTTAGCCACGGCAACACGGTGAGTTTTTTTGTTTTAAACATGTTTCAATAATTTCCGATGTTTTCGAAATTTCTTAATTACAAAAGCTGTAACACGTGGAAATCAATTAGAATAAAATAACTTTTCAATTTAAATAGATTTTTTGTTAAATGGAAAGTTTCATATAGATTTTGACACTTTTTGAAGTAATAAGTGTTTCACTGTCGTATGCACAGTGCGCCAAAAAAAAAAAAAAAAGGGACCACTCTTAATAACTTTTGATCAAATGATCGGATCTTCACGTTTTAGAACTCAATCTTAATGGTTTGAGGGGGATACCTCAAACAGGCTAATTATGCAGACGTTATTTTAATTTACGAAATCAGACATAAAAACGTACTTTCTCTAAATAGACATACCTTTTTTTTCAACAGGTTAAGATTTCTGACCCCTAAAACATAGGGGGTAGCCGCAATCTGGGAAATATGGATTCCATAGTTAGGCCAGGAGAGCGATCCAAAGTTTGGACCCCTTAATGTCAACTTTACTTTTATTTTGTCATGCCTCAAGAACTTTTTAAGCGAATTGACACATTTTTGCTCACATTTATAGAATTCGTTTATCCAAAGATAATTTCTTGGAGAAAATAAATTCTGATAAATATTTATTATTTCATTAACTAATAGTCGAAAAATTTTTGAATTGTGAGGTATACAATCATCATATAACCTTTTACATCATTTTGAAGTAATTTTACATGAAAAAATACAAAATTTCAGCGAAATCGGTCGAAAAGGTCCTGAGAAATTGAATTTTAAAGAATTGTACCTTTAAAATTTCATTTCCCAGGAACTATTTAACTGATTTCGTTCTAAATTTGTATTTTGCTATGTGAAATTACATATTTTAAAATGATGTAAAGAATTGTGTGCATTACAATTCAAATTTTTTTCGAATATTATTAAGCAAAATTATAATAAATAATAAACATTTAATAAAGTATATTTATTGTATGGAATTATCTTTGCATAAACAAATTGTATAATTGTGTATTGTGTGCACAATTTTGCTTAAGAAGTTCCCGTAATGCACACTACCCTACAATAATGGATGAAACACTATCATTTTTTGAAATTTTTTGAATTTCTCAAGAAAGACTAAGATGATTATTTTTTAACTTCAGAGGTATTTAGTTCATGCGATTTTTCCTACTTAGCAATAAGGTTGAAAATTCTCAGAGGCTATAGGAACCTACACTAAATTACGAAAGAAAACAAGTATTTTCGAACACCCTATACTAGAAAATTAAGCAATAAACTTGCATCTCGTATCAATTACTTTGATTGTTATTTCAATAACTACTTAAAATTTCGTAAACTTAGCTTAAATATTTATGGAGATATGGACATTTTTATGTAAAACATTATTCGGACATTTTTTGTCTTACGTTTTAATAAAATTTTTATTTAAATAAATATTTTTATTTAAATAAATATTTATTAGTAAATATTAAAATTAAGTTTGTAATAATTAAAATTGTATTCGATGTATATACTTATTCGATATATTCGAAGTCAAACGAATTTTTTTAAGAAATTTAAAATTAATTACAAAATTATCCTTTTAAAATGTGATTTTTTTTTTTTTTAAACTGCTCAAGATATAAATATTTAAAGTAGTTCTTTTGTGCTGCGCTGAAAAAATTTAAAAAAAAAAATTCATATTTTTGTAGTGAATCGTTTTCAGCAACTAACAAAAAAAATTTTGATTTTCAATATTTTAAAAATTTAAAAAGTTTCAAGCAATTTTTTAGGTAATTTTTATACTTTTCAAAAAGAGAGCTCAAAATGATAGTTATCCACAAATTTAATTTTGTATTATGAAACAAGATTTTATTAAAAATGAAGCCGGCAATAACAGCTAGTACGAAAGTGGATTTGCATAAAATCTGTCTTAATATTTATGCTAATCCAGCGTTCACGCGTCATCTATATTAAAGATAAATACGATATGTGAAATAGTCATGTCGTTAGTTCTGTTTCAAGTAGTGACAATGTGTCGCAGCGACGGGAACTTTGAAAGGGGTCATATTAGTAGCAAATCTAGTTGCGAAATAGCGACTGATTTATCTTATCCACGGGCAACTATTGGTAAAATCGTGAAAAGTGGAAAACTACAGGAGTTGGGATACGAACTACACACGTTTGCCGTCACTTAATGAATTGGCTCGGCATATCCTGAAGCGGGAAGTTCGTAAGAAACGCATGAAACCACTCCATATTATCAACAGTAAATTTCAACAGGCAACAGGCATTGCTGTGTACCACAATACTTTGTGGAAAGAACTGCACGTTCTCAATATCCGTGGAAGCGTTGCCGCACACAAACCCAATATCACTTTGTCCAACAAAGCCGCCAGACAACATCGCCACTGTAGATCACTGGGAAATATTTTTATGAAGCAATGAGTCTCGTTGCACGCTTTTTCAGTTGGATGGGCGAGTTTGGATATGGCGAATGCCAGGGGAACGTCTTTTATCTGAGTTTATAATTCCTAATGTCAAGTTCGGTGGTGTACTTGTTTGGGGATGTTGTTTCTGGTAAGTTAAACCTCACGACCTAGAGTGTTATTCTGGCAATCAGGCTCTACCTGCGCTCTGGCAATTTTAAGGAAATAACGTGAGTTACTTCCAGCACGCACCGCTCCGTATCATGTCGCAGCCTCTCTCTAGGAGTGGCAGGGGTCTGTCCAGACATTTTGTGAAAGGTCCGTTTTTGTAAAATTGTGAAAAAAAATTGCTCGTAATTTGTGAATATAAAATAAACGTTAAGTCACATTCTTTCAACCAGGGTCCTGCTTTTGTGAATTTGTGCAAATAGGGTCTGTTATTGCAAAAAAAAACTTTTTCAAGGAGTTCCCAACATTGTAAAATTAAAATTTAAAAAATAAACAGCAATTGCTGCTACTAAATTAGTGATGCAACATACAAATATTTGGTATTTTGCCTATACTGCTCAATGCAGAATATTCATTTCGGACGAATAAAGGAAGAAGCGTCTGCCGAAGACAAAATTTATTTCGTTTACATCTGACGTTCTCTCCCCCTCTCCTGGGAAGGGTTTATTCGATTAACAAAACAATAATGAAGAAAAACGAATTTGTGAAGGGCCTGAGTAAAAGATAAATTATTTTGTGAAATGTCCGTTTTTATGNTATGAAAAGCTATTTTGTGAAGGGTCCGTTAACGGACCCAAATTTCTTCTAAACAGATCCCTGAGTGGTATCATGATACGGACGTAAAACGTCTTTCCTGGCTTGCTCAGCGTCCGGACCTAAACTCTATAGATTATTTGTGGGACGTATTAGAGCGACGTTTACGGGCCAAAGAATCACGTGCAAAATTTACAACCGAGCTGGTCACTAAAGGAGTAGCGTCGGGGGGAGGGGGGGGGCGAGGAACAATTCAACGAACGGCAAACATTCAACGATATCGTAAAATACTGATCCCCTCAAATTTTGATGAAATCGTTTCGAATCAAGGGCACCGACATAAAATAAAATCGATTACATTTCATAATATTATTGAGTTTAATTTTTTAAATAAGAATTTATTAAACAAAGTTTTTAAAATTTTTCTTTCTCTGGTAATACTTATTTTTATTAAAAAAAAAAGTTTATAGTTACATAATTGAAACGCACACATTTAGTGCCTTGTGTTGCAGTATTTGAGAATTTTTTGAATAATTTGATTCTTATGCTCATTAATATCAGTTGTCATGATCACTTTGAGTAAATATTGTCTATATTTATTTCTAAATAAATACTTTCGTTTTAAGATGCCTTTCTTCTTGATTTAGAATATTTTTTATTTGAATTGTTTGACTTAATGTCATTTACTTTAATTCATTCGTCACTCCCAGCAATTTTTATAACATCCTTGTAAATGTTATAAAAATTGCTATCTTTGAAAATTAAGCTTTCTCATATTTTTTGTTATCCTCAAAAAATGATAATATAGCCTTCATTTCGAAACTATAAGAGTCCATAGTTTCCATACTGCGTTTCAAATCTATCTTCAAATCACGTTTTAGCTATAATTTTATTTCACTTACTTTCTATTTTTAATGCAACGAAATATGACATCGTCTTAAAAAGGGTTCAATTATTTTTCAGAAAAATATGTTCTTTTCTATTTTAATGAAGCAATTATGCGTTTTTGCTAGGATATTGAAAGTTTGCGAAATACTCTCTGGGTGGTAAATTTAGTAAATGCGAAAATACAATTTTATTCAATTTGGTTTCAGTGTAAAATGACACATATTGACTACAGTTTCATTTAAGTTATAAGACATTTTTAGTAGTTATTTTTTTAACGATCTTTGCAGTAAGAAATAGTTTTGTTCTCATTAAATATACATTTAGATTTTCATTTGATTTTGTAATGCTCTTATTTCTTTCGAGTGAGTATGATAAATGTAATAATATAATGGCTATATTACCTTCATTAAATAAATTAGGATGTGATGAATATTTGCTTAATTATCATATTTTCAGATTCATTATTTAATTCATAATAAAATTTCAATAAAAAATAGAATTTTTCTAACTTTATTTTGTTTTTGAAGGGTTTTTTTCTTATAAATTTATCAATTTAAAATAAAAATGTCACGGAAATTAAGAGGTGACCTATTAATAATAGCTTTTTTTAAAAAATATAGAAGATTTTAAAAATGAATTCTTTTGCCCCCCCCTCGAATTTTTTCGTCACGCAACGCCTATGCTGGTCACATTCTTACAGCAAAAATGGAAGCAAATATCTACAGCTGTATATCAAATCTTATTACAAGTATGTCAAGAAGGATTAATTGTGTCACTGCAGCGCATGGAGGGCCAACTCCTACAAAAGTATGGAAAAAAAAGAAATTTTAATTTTTCCGCCCATGTGCAGTATGAAAGAACTACTTTAAATGCTCATATCTTGTGCAATTTTTAACATTTTTTTTCATGTTTTAAAACAGTAATTTTGTAACAAAAAAAA